AGCGGGAGCTGCTGGGTGCAGAGCCGGGGCGGCCGGCGCGGCTGGACCAGCTGCTGGACATGCCGGCGGCGGGGCTGGCTGTGCAGCTGCGGCACGCGTGGAACCCCGAGGACCGCTCGCTCAATGTCTTCGTCAAGGATGACGACCGGCTCACCTTCCACCGGCACCCGGTGGCCCAGAGCACGGACGGCATCCGCGGCAAGGTGGGCCATGCCCGCGGCCTGCACGCCTGGCAGATCACCTGGCCGGCTCGCCAGCGGGGCACCCACGCCGTAGTGGGGGTGGCCACGGCCCGGGCTCCCCTGCACTCCGTGGGCTACACAGCGTTGGTGGGCAGTGACGCCGAGTCCTGGGGCTGGGACCTGGGCCGCAGCCGCCTCTACCACGATGGCAAGAACCGGCCGGGCGTGGCCTACCCGGCCTTCCTGGGGCCCGACGAGGCCTTTGCGCTGCCCGACTCGCTGCTAGTGGTGCTGGACATGGACGAGGGCACCCTCAGCTTCGTCGTGGACGGCCAGTACCTGGGCGTGGCCTTCCAGGGCCTCAAGGGAAAGAAGCTGTACCCGGTGGTGAGTGCTGTGTGGGGCCACTGCGAAGTCACCATGCGCTACATCAATGGCCTTGACCGTAAGTGTGCTGGCGAGGAGGATGGGGGTTTCAAAGGCTGCCTGTCCTTGGGAATGTTGGGCAGGAATCTGTTCTGTTTAACTGGTTAAATCTAGGAGCGAATGAGTATGTCCTGAGGGCAAGTTTAGTCAACAGGATGCCCTGTGGAAACTGTCTGGAACCCTCTTCGACGGGGTGACCAGGTGAACCCCCATGGTGAGAAAACCTAGAGCAACGGCAAATGCTCTTCATTTCATAGAACTGGAAAACCGATCACTGGACCAGAAGGGTGGCCTTGGTGTACCAAGGCTCTGGAATCTCATGTGCCTTATGTCCAACTTACTTCCCCAATGCTCAGTGGGGTTTTTTTGTCCTTGAGTCACTCTAACTCCTTAAGACTCACTTTACTCATCTGTAAAATGGGACAGTATAAGGTCCCTTTCACAGCTGCTGTGAGATTTTGTGTGGTGGCACCAATAATATGATAGCTGGGATTAAAGGCCTGACGTTGACACCCAGTGGGAGCTGCCAGAGCCAATAATCAGGCTGCTAAAGTAGGGTAGGCTTCCTTTTGGCTGCTGATTTACACATGCGTATTATCAGTTGCTTGGTTTTCAGGTGCAAAACCAAGGTGCTAACAGTGTGGCAGCCAGCGGCTCCCCATATTAGGATCAGGAGCAATCTTGGTGTGATGTTCAGGGAGGTTGGGTAGGGAAGAGCAACTGTGTTTGGAGTATTTTGAGCTCATGGGTCCCTTAGGTGGTTGGAGAAGCTTGGTGGGATGAAAAGTTGGAGTGTTCCATCCTCCTCCCACTGGCAGTGATGGGTCAGGCTGGCCAAATCTGGGATACTGAATCTAGGAGGCAGGAGAGCCAAGATGTCATGTAATGCAAGCCTGTGGCATCTCCCATTCAGTAATAGGGTTAGCTTGTTGGCTATGGCAATAGGCTTTTCTCCAGATAGGAATAACATTCTCTATCTTGGGGGTGGGGAGGAGATTACAGAAAGGGGAAGCTCAGCTTCCCTAGACTTGAAAGGCCTGTTCTTGGTAAGCCTGGGACAAACTGACTCCAGGGTGGGCCATAGGACAGGCTGCAGTGGAGCCTCCCTGGGGTGGTGCACAGGCGGGTAGTTGGGAAGGGATTGTGTGATGCCTGTAGCCGGTGGCCTTGGCTGAAGTCTACTGTGAGTTCCCGGGGACTGGGAATAGTTTGGCCCTAGGGAGTGGTGCACAGGCGGGTAGTTGGGAAGGGATTGTGTGATGCCTGTAGCCCGTGGCCTTGGCTGAAGTCTACTGTGAGTTCCCGGGGACTGGGAATAGTTTGGCCCTAGGGAGTCCCTGGGCAGGAAAGGTAACACAAGGTTGGGTTGTGTGGATGTAAATAATTCTGAGCCAACGTTGGTTGTGGACATGGTGGCAGGTCCCCAAACCCAGACCCAACCAGCATGTGGGGGACCAGAGTCAGAGACATGCTTGGGAGCAAAAAGGGTTGCTTCCCCACACATAATAAGGGGAGAAAACTCTGCCTGGGGCCCTCACAGACTGGGTTAGACCCTAGCCCCAGCACTCAGCAGGAGGCCGTGGGCAGTTACCTCCCTTCTCTGAACCTCAGTGTTCTCCTTTGTCAAATGGGGATAATGAAGGTCACCGGCACAGAGCAGACACACAGCAATTAGCGCTCACTGCTTTGAGTAACTAGGTTCTGGGGTTCACCTATGGATTAAAACAAAAGTGGCCTTAATAGAGGCTTTTGCTCTAATGTGATGGAAATAAGTTAATGGATATCGCTTTCTCAATTTTTGAATTTTTATTACTGGAAAAGCAAGGCTTAGCAAGGGCTTACTGCATTTAACTCTGAAGCTTGTATTTGTTGAGGGCAGGAGCTACTGAAGGTGTGATTTCCTTTTGCAAATGCATAATGTTGTTGAACCTTCTGTGAGTGAAGTTGCTCTTCTGCCACATCATGGAGTGGAACGGCTCAGCATCTGGAAGTCACTGCAAAGAGCTGCAGGACGCCCAGGAGCTCTACCATCTGAGTGAGCTGAGAAGTATGGAACCGAGGCCGGGCAAATGGGCAAACTGTCTCAGATTGTCTAGGGCCCAGATAATAATAATAATAGTAACAGCAACAACAATAACTAATACGTGTAGTGTTTCATCTGTGCTGAGCTCTGTTCTAAGCATTTTATGCATTTTGCCTCATTTAAGCCTTGTAATGACTCTTTGAACTAATACCTCTATTATTATCTTCAGTTTATGATGAAGAAATCAAGGCACAGAGAGCTTGAGTAAGTTGCTCAAGGTCACACAGCTGTAACTGAGGGATCCTGGGTTCACACTGAGGCAGACTTGCCCAATGGGGACATCATGGAGACATTTACAGACAAGCCAAGGAGAGAATGCACAGAGGGGCCTGCTCCACCTGCCCGGGTGGCCGTGCAGCAAAGGGCTGGACCCTTGCCTTCAGCAGTGAGCTTGGGTGAGGTGCTGCGCTGCTGTCCCTGTCATTTTTCCTCCTCCTGCCAGCTTCATCTCCAGCCCTCAAAGCTCTTGGCTCAGCACAGCTCCACAGAGTGTTCTGAAAAGCTAAGTTGTATAAAGACAGCCCCAGCGGGGGACCATGAATCAGGCATGCTTGATCGCTAACAGGGGAATGTCACTGTAAATGTCCTGCCTGCTGGGAGGTTCGGCCCCTGGGGTGGGCCAGGCCTTTGGAATCTGCTCTGTGCTGTTTCCGGAATTGCTCCTGGGCTCCCAGGCAACTCTTTGCACGTGCTAGTGGCCAGGGGAGCTGACAGATTGGCTTTGTCTCATGTCTTGGAGTTTTTGGGTGGTGAGTGGTGTGTGAGGGTGCAGGAAGTGGAGAGGAACCCCAGGGACAGAGAAGCAGCCTAGGGGTCGTCGCGAACAGCTTTGATTTGGGCGTATTAATAATTACACTTTTTGTTGGATATCACCATGTGCTGTGCCCTTGGCTGAGTGTTTTACTCATTTTTTTTTTCTTTCAGTCACAGTAAGCTGTGAGGCAATGTTACCATTATTATCCCCATTTTCTAGATGAGGAAACTGAGTCTTGGAAATGTGAAGAACTTGCCCACGGCCATACAGATAGCATGTGGCAGAGCTGTGCTTAAACCCAGGTCACAACCACTCCTCTGCCCCATCTCCTGCTGCCTGGGCCAGCCCTGCCTTGATTCTGCCCAGGGCTGAGCTGGCCTGACTCCACATAGCAGGCACCAGTGCACAGGGCTGACTGGCAGGGAGAGGAGAGTGCAAACGTAGATATGTTGGGCCTAACTGGTCGAGAGGGATTGTCCACCTGCACCAAGGCACGGAAGCTGTATTTCCAGACGTCGTTCCTAGATGGTTTAATCGATCTGCCAACAAGTATTTATTGGCGCAAGGGCTCAGCAGAGGAGGCTGGCAGCCAGCCAAGGCTTCTGATATTGATGAGGTCCAGAGAGAATTTTCTACCAGGATGACTGCAAGGACACCATCCCCTTGCCAGAGCTGTCCTCCCGGTCCATGCTGAGCTCACAATATTCCTGCTTGACCCCTATGCGAATCACAGGGCAGTGTGGTCCTCCCAACCTCCCTGACATCTGGATGTGACTCTTCCACCGAGGTCTGGGCCTGGTTTCTCCTCTGTCCCCCTCCCCTATCAACCTACCCAGCTCCCAGCTCACTCCCAGCCCTCAGTCCAGGACTCTGTTTCTGAGCCCTCAGTTCTGCACTGAGTACCCCCCACCCTGCCCCGTCTACCCCACTCACTCACTTTTCCACACACATATGCCTTCTTCCTCTGAGTTGTGATCAGGTTCCTCAGGGCAGGGATGGCGCCCCAGCAGTCATGCAAGGGGAAATGGAAAGAGTGGCAACTCAATATGTGCGTATTTACTTCTGAAAGGTAAACTGTGTGTGTGGTAGCCATGAAGTACCCCCCACCCGTACCCCAGCCCCCAGCTCTACTTCCCTCCTTGCTAGCAGCCACCGTTAGCAGTTTCTTGTATGTCCTTCCAGGGATGTTTATGACAGAGAATTTTTAGATCATACTGTAAACATTGCCCTATACCTCATTTTCCCCCATTAATGAACCTTAGCAATTGTTTAATAGCAGTTGATGTAAAACTGCTTCATTCTTTATTAACAGTTGCATGGGTTTCCGTGGTATGGTTGTATCATAGTTTAAATATTCAAATCCCTTTCTTTGGATATTTAGTCAGTTTTCAATCTTTGAGAATAAACTTTTGGTCCTAACTTGAATTCCGTTTCTGCCCCTCCTGGCTAATTAACATCCCTCAGCCCCAGATTTTCCATCTGTGTGGTGGGAATAATTACATGCACCTTACAGAGTAGCTGTATTGGAAATGAAGCAGAAGTGAAGCAGGATCCAGCATGGGGCTCAGAATGTTAATATCAATAAGCTTATCCTGCATTTCCCATTGCAGTGCTGAGCTCATCTTGTGCACCTGATGAGTGCCTGTGAATGATTTGGTTTCCACGTTAAAATACAGTAGAATCACATTAATTTGATATTAAGGAGGCTTCAGATACATTGGACTAAAATCATTGGAGTTGTGTAATCCAGTCAGTCCTTACATAGAGTGTGTGTCAGCATAAGACACCTGGCTCTTTACGTGCACAGAATAGGCCAGTAATACACCTGTTTTGCTGTTCTGTTACTGCCAATGCTGCTGTTCATGCTGAAGGTGGTGGCTCTTTGAGGTGGGGACTGCATCTTAGCTTTCTCAGCCATCTCCCAGAGCACTCCTTGGAACAGAGTACTTAATAGGTGCTCAATAAATGCATATTAATGTTCTGGCCTCCCACGACCTGAATAGCTCTCATTTTCTCCACCACAGGGGGACCTGAGTCATAGTTGGCTGGAACAGAGGGGTTGGCCATGAGCTGCTGCCCCCTCGAAGCCTGACCCTGGAGTGACCCATTCCCACTTCTCACTGTGTGCCATGCACAGCACAACTGTCCCACACACAGGCCAAGCAGAAACTGTGTGATGGGC